GTCCCTTGACCTGGAAGTGCTCTGCTTATACAGATCAAGGATGAATTTAATAGGCTTCCTATCTGTTTTACTTCTAAGAACACCATCATTAACTAGCCAAGGCCACACAGCTACAAGAGTCAGACTATTCTGACTGTCGTTTGGCCTCTGCTGTGGTAATTACGCCCACCTGGCCTTTGGCAGTCAAATGCCATCACACCTTTAGGGTGAGGCGATCCAAAGGAAAAGACGCTTTGCTCCAGACCACAAGCAGAAGTAGCAGATGCACCAAATATACGGATGCGTATTGCACCATCAGGGTGGTCCCAGAGCAGAGCCGGCAGCTGTAGCAGCCAGAGCTGGAACTGCCTAGCTCGAAGTGTCCCCAGCTGGGGTAGCTACTGAGCTCTTATCACAGGTAGGTCCTCTCACCCCTGGAATCCTAAATTCGTACGCTGGTCCTTTCCCAAGTGTGGAGTTCACATCTCATGCCCTTCATCTTGGGCCTAAGTCACTCCCCACCTCCCTCATTTCCTAAGAGGCGCCTGCAGGTGGCCGAAGCGCCTTGATTCTAGCTCCACCCATCGCCTGCACAGTAACTTCACGAGGGGCGGGCTCAGGCTTAGCCCTGTCCAGTGCTTATTGACAAACTCTTCCAGACCCTGCCACCAGTCCCCACATCCGCACTGCACAAGCCCAGCCCCAATGGCAGCAAAGGCGGGGTGTGCCTTGGCAGATCCTCTTCCCCACCTCCAAGGGAGGCCCAGAGAGCCTGAGCCTGTTGTTAATGTGGTTTGTCTCAGGATCATCAGACTCATTTATTTTAATGTTGGGCAATGAAGGGAATGTTGAAAATCCAAAGCAAGAAGTTTCCCAAAGGCTCCAGGGAGATACCACAAGTCAGATTCCCCAGGTGAGCCCCTAGGTTTTGTCATCTTCCCCTGTCCGACAAGGAACTTCAACGCTAGATCAGAATGCGCATGCTCGACTCCTGTCCCACATGGAGTTAATAGTTGATCTCTTTGAGACTTGATCTTTCTCTTAATTGCTTCTTAGGGAGTAGCTACAGATGACCTGACATCATGTATTTGCTTCAGAATAACCCAGTGTGAGTGTGTGTGTGTGTGTGTGTGTGCACGTGCGTGCTTTTGTGCATGCGTGTGCACGCGTGCATACATGTGTGCATACATGAGTGTGCATGTGGTTGTGCAGACACTTGAAGCTAGTGAGGAAACCCAAGGGCTCATTATACTCTTCTTTCCACTCTGATATATGTTTGAAAGTTTCCATTAACGATAAAAGCTTTTCATTAAAAACAAAAACAAAAACAAAACACCTCTTCAAAGAGAGGCTAAGGCAGTAGAGATGGCATTCTGTACTGGTTGGGGGCTTGGATGCCAAAATCTGGATTAAAGGTTTGTTCTATTTTTCCTTATTCATAACAGAGCGCACGTGCTGCGCATGAGTGTGTGTGAGAGAGAGAGGAGTACCCCCTACAGGGTCTGACCACGCTGCCATCCTCTGGCCCATCATCCAGCCCGTGGGAGGGACCCTGAGCACTGGCATGCATGCCCAGTGTGTTTCAGGCTGAGTGCACCAGGGATTTGGATCGTGGTTTCCTCTGGCTTCTCTTGAGCAGCACGTTACTGCTGCACCATGGAGCCAGCCCTGGGATAGTGCTGGCTGCACTGTGCAGAAGCAGTGAGCCTCTGGCCAAATCGCCTGTCCACTCTGAGCCCCAGGGGGACACAGATGAAGGGGGAGCCTGCTGCCTAGAGTTCTTAGGAGGGGAATAAGAGTTCATGCGTCAAAAACTAGATCAGAGCCTGGTACTACCACGTGTTAAGAAACAGTTACCCACTTTTATTTATTTATTTATTTTTTTGAGAGGTTTTTGCTATAGGGCACGTTCACTCACCAGAAAGACAGAGAGAGACAGAGAGTCAGAATATGAGAAATCTCCCCCCCAGGGGGAATGGCCACGCCGCAATCCCTTCTCCTCTCAGATCGTGGGCATGCGTACACATGTGCCCGGCATGAGTTTAAGCCACCGGGTCCGGGACTCGAATTGCGGTCGACTACATGGAAGTCCAGTGACACAGCCATTATACCAATCGTTGGTCTCCCCACTTTTTTTTTTTAAAACCATAGGGCATGTGTACTTGTGGGGATATAGGGGTGGTCATGCCACAATCCCTTCTCCTGCATCTTCCCCTCCTTTTGGGATGTTGGGCACCCACGAACACACACCCAGTGTGTTTCATCAAACCACCAGGTCTGGGACTTGAACCCCACAGTCGGCCATGTGAGATTCGGCTGTCTTAACCATTAGGCCATGGAGCCGGCCCCCTCACTATTCTGATTCGGGCTTAAACAAGGTCATGCCCATGATGGATTTAGCAGCACGAATCCTGGCACCTGGCTATAAGCAGAACTGTAATGCAGACGGGGAGGGATGTTACTGGATACCTGGAAAGGAAGAACATAGCAATGGAAGTCCAAAATCAAAGTCCCTTCAAGTTGGATTTCATCCATCTGGCTTGTAGAGAAAAAAAAAAAAAAAGATTATACACCCCCAGGTAGATTGAGGTACACCTATACCTGCCCTTGCACATTTGCCTGATAAAACTTTTCAAAGCAAAACAAAAACCCATTCACTGCAAACCAGTCACAATCTATTTCTTGAGAAGAAGTGGTGACTAACTTTGACTAGCATAAGAATCAGAGGTTTTGCTAAATGTGAAAATACGTCTGCAGGCACGCTTCCACGGACCTGGGAGGAGGTAGAAGCTGCAGGGGAGAGGGCGGGCAGGCACGGCACCGGGACAGTGTGCATCAGCTCAGCAAACAGAGGGGTAGCACTGGCCTCCACGAACTGGGCCCCCATCCCGCTCCCAGCTCTGTTAGAGAAATTAAACATCTGTGCTGATTCCAAGGGGGTGAGTTTTACACGGCAGGGGACCCACTGAAGGGTGGATCCAGCCTTGCAGCAGCCCAAGAAGTACAGCCTCACCCAGCTCCAAAGTGACATCACCCAGGCCCCAGACAGGGCCACTCCTTCCTAAGACCCCTGAAACTCATCGATCCTCAGCAGGGCCTGAGTTCCCTGTAGGACATGCCAGCCTTAGCCTCTGCTTCTGGCTGGCAGAGTCTCTAGAGCCAATGGGCCACTGCTTTGGTTTTCTTTGCTTCTAGCCTGGCTGGTGGTGGCCAGCCAGGGAAAGAAAAGGGAGATTTGGAAAGTTATTGCATTAGGTGACTCTACACTTCCCTGTACACACATCACCAACTGGGTAAGTGCTCCCTGCAGAAGAAAAAAGCAGTAAGAGAACAGCAGGAGTTCTTAAAATGATCTAATCCAGCCCATCACTTCACAGCTGCCTGGCCCATGACCTCAGTGCTGGGGACAGTAACCAACAGCAACAGCCAGGACTTGGAAAGTTTGGTCCATAGCCCTGGCTGTGCAATTTTGGTAAGTCAGCCACCCTCTCTGGGCCTCCAACGGGAAATGAAGGGTTGGCCTCGACAGAGGCTCTGTGAATCAGGTAGGACTTCCCTAAGTGTGGGAGAGGACTGCCTGTGTCGCTAATTAATCGAGTGCTTTCCACCATTCAGGGGGGGTGTTGGGAAGGGGTGAGGTAGAGAACAGAGGAGCCCCCATGCCCTTTCTTTCTTGGTTCCTAGCATCCAACCGCCAGGAACAAAACTGTGGGCCCAGATCCCCTCACGCACAACTGTCCCACCTCCCGAAAAGAAAAATTTCTTCCAAGGACACCAAACCCTCGTCACCAGCGATGGCGTGTTCACCATGAACACCTGTTAAAACTCAGCTCCGGACCAGTTCCTGATGCTACCGGCTGGGGCGCTTAATTAAATATTACTCACTCAGGAAGCGGCCCTGCCAACTCACCCCCCACTGCAGAGCTCATGTTCAGAGAAGAAGCTGGCACAGCCAGGGCCTCCTCTGGTGGGGCTGGGGTCCAGCACCGCCCACTCTCCCAAGCCAGGAAGCAAGGACAGGGTCAGTGACTCTTGGGACCCAGTGCCCCACTGCTGGGTTACCACAGACAAATGGGGTGCACGCGCGCACACTCATACACACTCATGGTCCTTCACTCACAGAGACACTTTCACACACAGACACGCGTTCACGAAGATACAATAAAAGCCTCACAGACACACTCGCAGGTGCACGCGCGGACGTTGCACACACAGACACACGGTGACACACACAAACAGGCACTTTCCAAGACGCACACATTCACTGACTCAGTGACACACTCACACAGACACACCCACGGGAACATACTCGCGAACACACTCATACACAAATACGCAGTGGCAGGATACACAGACACACCTTCACGGCACGGAACTCTCGCAGAGGCAGCAGAGACAGAGACACACACCCACGAGCGCGAACCCTCACTCACACGCTCGAACTTCCTCGGACACCAGCACTCTCACCTGCGAGGAGACGGAGCTGTCCCACCCATCCTTGAACTTGAAGAGGACAATTACTAAATCGCCGCACGCAGCCCGGGCGCGGGTGACCCATCCCGCGGCTCCAGTACAGAACCGGGCTGCTCTTGTTTTTCTGTTTTAATCGATTTCCTGATACAACTCTCGGGCTCTCCCTCGGTTGCCTGGAGAAGCCTCGGAGGCTCCGGAGCGGCGGGGAGGGCGGCGCCGCCTGGGGTGTTGCCCGGCGGACTCCCTGGGGGAGGCGCTGCGGGCCGAGCCTCGGAGCCCGGAGGGGGGCCGGGCCCCGGGGGCCGGGGGGGGCCAGTCAGCCCGAGCCACAAATGCTGGCTCGGAATGGCGGGAAAAGCGAAACTAACTAAGCCGACATTGCGATGCCCCAGTGCGGGAGTGGGTCGGCACCCCAGTCCCGGTCGCAGGGATAGTCGTGGGAACACGGACCTCGGGGCGCCTGGACACCGAGAAGTCGGTGAGGGACGCCGCACGCCCCAATCTTTCTCTCCAGGTCTGCAGCCGCAGAGAGCCAACCCCAAGCTCACCGATGCCCACTGTCGCGCGGACCCTCGCCGGGTTGGGAGGTGGGACCCAGGAGCCGCCAAGACTCGCCTGAGCCTTCAGGAGCAGCAGCGGCAGCAACGCTGGGCGACGCCCGGTCCCTTCTCCCAGGACCCACCCGGAGAGAAGGGCTCCGAGCACCGCGGGAGGAGCCGAGCTCCCGGCGTTCTCCGGCTGGGTCCCCAGCCCGGCCCCCATCCGGTCCCCACTGCCCGGCTCCGAGCCCAATCCTCTGACCCTCCAGTCTCGCGGTCCCCACGCCTACCTCCACCCGTTCCCCAGTGTCCCGCCCCGCGCTCAACGCGTTCCGACCCCCACCCCAAGTCCCAGGTGCCAGGCCCAGCCTGCCGCG